GCACGGAGCGATCCCTGGAATGGTTTGGGTTGGAAGGACCTTAAAATGCTCCAGTGCCACCCCCTGCCACGTTCCCAGAGAAAAAGGGGAATTCCTTCCCAACAGCAGCTTTTCCATCACCCCCCCCTTGGAGGACAGGGAGGTTTTCCAGGGCTCTGCTCGCACATCCCACCCCAAATCCAGGGATAACTCGCTGCTCCTCCTTAACTGCTGAAAGGCAAAACCACAGCCCCAGTTCTCCTCCTCCTTCCCCAATCCAAGTATTTGTGATTTATGGCTTTTCCCACCCGAGTTCCCGAATCTGAAGGAGACCCCACACCGACCATCCACACTTATTCACTTCACCCAAATTTAAGCACTTTTTTCTGGCATTATTTTCCTTCTGTATCAACACTCCTGAGTTATTTCCCACTTGGAACACGGGAATCCCGTGACAGCCTCAACACAGATGGACACATCCATCAGAAATCCATCAAATCCTGGCTGTGTCCCAGGGATTTAACTCCTTGATTTGGCTGTGTTTGAGTGATGGCTCCACCTTCCACCCAAATTCCTGACAATAAATCACCTGCTGGCTCCATTCCCTGCAATTATCCCAGGAGAACTGGTTGGATCACCTCTGGATCACCAGGATTTGGGATTTCAAGCCGGGAATAACATTCCAGAGCGAGGTTTGGAGCAGAGATGGGTGGGAAGGGGACACCCAGGTTTCCTGTGCCACCCAGGGAATGACAGTGCTGGGTCCCCAAGGCAGGAATTTTAGGGGTGGGAAAGTGGGAAAAGAACTAAGGAATAAGTAAGGGAATGTCCTCTAGAGGGCACAGCGAGCCCGGGAACTCCAGGCATCCAAACTCCGAGGGGTTTTCAAATTTCAGCGGCTCAGGTGAAGGATTCCCAGCTTTTTCCCGGAGCTGAACAGGCTCAGGCTGTTCTTAGACGGGATGTAACCGGGCTGGGACAAGGCCTGACTGGCTGGAGAGCTGGGAATGCGCTGGGAATGTGCTGGGAATGCACTGGGAAGAGGCAGCTGAGCCCTTTCCAATGACAGATGGAGCAGCTCTGGGATAAGGACTGAGCCCTGCCTGGGGAAGGAAGGACTGATTCCCACCTGGAGAAAGACTGAACCCCACTGGGGAAGGGAGGACAGAATCCCCCCTGGAGAAGGGAGGACCAAATCCCCCCTGGAGAAGGGAGGACAGAATCCCCCCTGGAGCAGGACCCAGCCCCACCTGGAGCCAGGCACCGGCTGCTCCTCCTCCAACTTCCATCTGAAATCCCTCATGGAAAGCAGGGACAAGTTCAAGCTCCTTAAAAACTCCGGGAACCCCCCGGGTAGAAGGATCCGAGCGGCAC